ATTATTACATTTGCATTTTTGAAAGTGAGGATACAGGTTGAGGATATAAGGGAAGCAGGCAGTTCAGCAAGGATGCTACTGGGATGCTACTGGGATAATCCCAGGGCCACTCTGTGAAGGTGGTATAGGAGACTGTTACAGTCTGGCTGAAGTGCAGAGACAGTACTAAGTACATCAGAATAGTATTCCTAATGATTAATTTAATAGTCAAGATGATAAATCAAAAATTATTCTTAGGTTTCAAGCTTGGGAAAGTTGGGGTATAAAGTTTCTAGTCACTGAGATAAGACAGATGAAAAGCTTCTGGTTGGATTTGGAGAAAAGGTGGCAATGAGGGTCTCAGTGTCTGGCACTGGAGTGACACCCGTAGGGTTCTAAATCCAAAACTGTCCCTTACTAGTCATGTGATATTGGGCTATTATTTAATCTCTACTTTCCTCAGTTTATATGGAGACAATCATAATATTGATCTTATGGGGTCATTGTTAGGATTAAATGAATCCACCAATAACTGCAACTTATTTATAATTTTTACTTTTACCTCACTCACTTTCAGAACCTGACACCATTGACTCCACTAACCTTGATTCCAGCAATCTTTGGCTCCATAGTAATCTGAAATGTATTATATTAAATCTACCATCTATTTTTTATTTATTTAAATTTCAGAATATTAGGAAGGTACAAGGTTTAGGTTACCCTGTTTGTGCATCTAAGGTAAAGTACAAGTTGTAATTGAGCCTTTCCCCCCGGGAGGTGCTATATACCCTTGTGCCCATTAGGTGAGAGTTTACTATTCCTCTTTCCTCCTCCTCTTTCTTCTTTCCCCTCTTCCCCCACCCCCTTGAATATAATTATGTTTTTCTCTCATGTTGGCATGCAGTTATTTATCTATTTATCAAGTTAAAAAGGTTCTGTGCAGCTAAAGATACAATAACAAAAGCAAATAGCCTTCAGAATGGGAGAAGCTATTTGAATGGTATGAATCTGACAAAGGGTTGATAACTAGAATCTACAGAGAACTCAAACTAATCAATAAGGAAAAAACAAATAATCTCACTTATAAGTTGCCAAGAGACTTGAATGGAAACTTCTCTGAAGAAGACAGATGAATGGCAACAATCACATGAAAAAAAGCTCCTCCTCCCTAATATCTATTATTGTACCTCACTCTTCATGTCATTACTTCCCTCATTTCTGAGCTTAAATTCCATAGTCAAATCTTATGATCACTTTTTTGCATACATCCTCAACTCCCAGTCCTCTCTTATGTACATCTTACTTGACAAAAACATCATCTCATTGAGAGTGGGTTATGACTATCCCACTCCTGGAGCTGACTGAACTGTAACTGGAGAAATGTAACAGAATGTGACTAGAGAAAAATACTCATTCAAGCTTCCTGGCCTGTACTAAAGATATGATGATTAACTACAGACAGCTGCTTTTTATTCCTTGGTAATCATGCTGCATTTCCTTTGATCCACTTAGTCCCCACTCCTCTAGGTGACTCTTGCATAACTTCCTCCCAGACCTCAAACTTGCACATCTTCCATCATCCTTACTCTAGCTAAGGACTCAGTTTCCTATTTCCCTGAGAAACTAGATGTGTTGTATCCTTTGTTTTCCCATTGTTTCCCCCTCAACACAGCATAATTTTTTTTTTTTTAAATGTAAGTCACACCATTCTGGTTTCTGGTCAAAATCTACTAATGGCTTCCTACCTCATTCAGAGCGGAAGCTAAAAGATCTAAGGTCATCTACAATGACCTAAGTTGCCTTACACAATATGAAAAGTTCATGACATCTTTGACCTTTTCTTCTATTATTCTTCCTCCTTCTCACTGGAGGCCAGCCACTAATCTCAGTGCCCATAGGATATGTCAGGTCTCTACTGCCTAAGAGTCTGCATCCTCCTTGGCTTCTCTGTGAAGTTCTGCCCTGAGGGAACCACTCCGGTTACTCCCTCACATCACTCAACTCTTTACTCAAGTACCTCTTCAGTGAATTTTATCTTAACTGCTGCCTTCATAACTGCAGCCCCAGAATTTCTTCCCTTCCCTTGTTTTAAATATTGTTCTTTGCATTGAAAATACAACCAGTAGTTCTTTGTTGTATATATTTAAAAAATTCAAGATAATGTCTTTATATAGTTAAAATTATGAGAACCATTATTTTGGACTGAACTCCTACACTTGGCCCCAACAAACAGACAAAATGGAGTCTGTCACATTCATCAAGGTTAAACTTGGAGGAAAAGACAGATCTGAAAACAGAACATTTTTTTCCGCTGAAACCAAGAGAATCCAATCTGCCTGAGTTAGCATAGCCACTGCTTTATTCTCACCAAAAAGGCAATCTAAAGTAACCTGAGGTAACCAATCAGCTTTGTCTTTTATTGTTCTGTTGTCTTGTTCCCATGACAAAACCTACTCTTCTGTTATTGTCCAGTAGGAGCTTTCATTTCATTTTGTGGAATGAAACTGTCCCCCTTTTTTCACAAATCATGAATAAAAGCTGAGTACCTCTACAAATTTGTTGTGATTTTGTCTTTGACAACATACATAGTGAAATTGTTACTACAGTTAAACAAATTAATATCCTCATCTCCAGACTCAGCTGCCTATTTTGTGGTAAGAACTCCTGAATTCTAGAATTTTGGCAAATTTCTGGTATACAATATAATATGATGAGCTACAGTCATGCTGTACATTGGACTTCTAGACTTACTCACCTTTCATAATTATAACATTGTACTCTTTGACTAATACCTCTTATTCCTTGGTTCCCCTTTCCCTTAGTAAGAAATTAAACTCTCTGTTTTTATGTGGCTTAATACAACCAGGTACTAAGTAATTTACCTATTTGTATTAATTATTGAATACTTTACCCCCTCTGGGACATAAACTCTGTGAGTCAAAGATGTGGTTTTGCTTTTTACTATTTCTTTCCATCCACAATACTCTTTGGCACATACTAGGCAAGCAATAAATATTTATTGAATGAATTAGTTAATATTTATAGGATAGTGTTTGGTATAGCATATTTTCTCAAAAAGAAAGAGCTATCATTATTACATTAATCAATATTACTGTATTGGACATGTTGTATTTAAAGCAGTATGGAATCACCAGGTGGCAGTTCTATAAGTTTAGGACTCAGAATAGGAGGATGAGCTGGAATATAAATTAGCATGGTCACAAAATCAACTAAATAAACAAGATCCCACTGGGAAGAATATTAAGAATCAAAAGCTATATGGAAGGGTAGCACATAGGGATGCAGCAACATGGGTGGGCTGACATTGTAAACCCAAGAAAGAAAGTGAAAGTGAGTATCCAGAGAAACACAAGAAAGAACAAGAGAGTTTGGTACAATGGAAGCCAATGAAAGGTAGAATTTGTGGAGGATAAAATGTTCGATACTTGTCAAATACCACAAAGTAGATAATACAAATACCACAAAGTAGAAAGAGGTACAATAGCAAATGTTGAGATACAAGTCACTAGTAAAAATGTATAGATATTTAAGGGTTGAAAATAAGTTATCAGCATCAACATGTCTAAAATTAGCAAAGAAAGAGCTTTTGAAATTGTTAGATGGCAAGAAAATACACATAACACACATTCTTTACCTATGTTTCTCTCAAAGAAGCAATAGAATAATAAAAAGGATCCCCTCATGTTAGACTTTATGTGACCAGAATTTGATCTAAGTGGGTCAAAGAAGTAATCCCCAGATTACTCACTGAATTGAGTAGGGTCTTCCACAAGCATTGGATAGTAGGATGAGATAATGTATTTCTCCTCGGAGTTTAAACCTAAGATAAGGATGCATCTAAACAAGTAAAATCACTGCATTTTCGATCAGGAATAAAAATAATGTAAAAATTCTAGAGGTCCTTTCTCTTCAAGACAACACTTAAAGGAATAAAATAACACTAAATAAACCTCAAATGCAATGTATTTTTAATCTTATTTCCTATAAGATGTCTAATAAATCTTACATGAAGAAAGGAAATTTAGGAGTAATTATTGCTATCCTCAGCAATATGGAGATATTTTCTGCTACTTTTGTAGTTTGAGAAAATGAAGAGTTTTTAATAATTTTGTTAAATAAAGGCATTGAAAATACAACCTGTCTTTTACGGATAATTACAAAATGAATCATAAGTGGGTGCAAATTGAGTAATATGATTAATTTCTAGGTTGACCTTTAGGAAAGTATTTGTCTAACATTTGCTATTTGCTGTATTTTTATTATATCAAACTAAAGTTCCAGCCATTTCATTTCCATGCTGTTTTTCAAAATAAGAAGTGCCTTATGAATATAAACTATTTTGTTTTGGAAAATAACTGTTTCACTCTAAAAACAATTTAGATTGTGAATAATAATATGAATATTTTCTTTGAATACCTGCTTTTGTTTCTATCAAGGTGCTCTTTGAAAGTTGCTTTATGCACGCATTTTCCAATCTACATTTCTTGATTAAGTAATTATTTTGCAGGTAGGTAAATTGATTGTTTAATAAAAAGTTAAAAAAAAATCTAATGGTAGCACACAGCTTTCTTCAAGGTTGTGTCATCATCTTAGTTAGCCAATGATCTAGATGAGAGTCCTCCAGATTGCAGACATATAATATGCATCCCCAGCAAAACCGCTCATAAGAATAACTTCATTATTCTGGGAAGCTAGATCTATAAAGTATGTAAAGTGTAGAAGCATTCTGCCCATACAATTTCTGGTAAGTACAGCATGACTAAGTCTAAGACCTGAGTCAGCGTCAGTTCAAGCATACCTTTCTAAAATATGTATTGTGACATGGAGGAAAGAAAAATGTAGTGAGCCAAGGTGTTCTGCTCTGAAGTAATGATGGATTTTAGATCTATATAGTTCTGTCTTCATGAATGAAAAATTAGCTCTGGCAACATTTTGTAATATGCTGTACCAATTCGTCACAATAACCCTGGGTTACAGCAGAATGATAAGAAAAAACTCACCAATACCACCGGACAGATTGTTGTGGGTGGTAAAATATGGTCCTTCAAAGGTCCACAGTCACATTCAGGTTTTAGATGTGAAGCACATTTATTATGCAACTAGAAAAGGAGAAAGGGAGATAATATCAAATTCCGGGCAATAGCAGCAAACCAGGGGCAGATTATATTTCAACCAGGACACAGCAAATACATTAGTACATTAAATAATTACATGAACAAATAAACAGAAGCATAAAGGGATTCGTGGTACATTTGCTTTTATATATGTACCTTAAATAAACCATTTAGCAACTTCTGTGCTCCAGCCTATATATTTTTTTCAATGTACAGAAATGTTTATATTAGAAATATACTTTAGGTTTTGCACCAAGCAAGCCTAATTTCTTTGAAAAATCCATGTTATTACCCATTAAAGTCCTTCCGTTGCTTATCTGTTAGCATAATCTTGAAACCACTGTGCACTGTGTATGTTTTTTTTTTTTTTTTTGACCCTCCTGTTTTCTCAAAGTCATTCGAAAGTGCACAGCTCAGTATGGGGCATAATTGATCCCATCATTAGTTTTAACTTTGTAATTCAATATGTAAATGTAACCAGAGATTCATCTCAGTAGGAGCAGGATATAAATAAAAGAAGATGATTATGATTATAAAAAATTGTCTTTATATTGTATTTATCAGCTCGACATTAAGTTAGTGTGTAATCATATAACGTGCTATTTATTTTTCAATATGTATAAACCTAAGCTGATATTTTTAACAACCTCGGTCACAAGTTTAAATTAAGGAGTTATATCTTAGTGTATTAAATAGTGATTTTTTTAATTGTGGTGACAGTTTTTATGGGAATACTGATTTTATAAAATCATACTGGCTTGGAAACATCTAGTGGTCTCTCCCTCCTTCATAGCATATCAATTTGGTATAGACTATTCATACTTTAGAAAAGTTATACCTTTTAATAAGATAACATGTCTTGTCCAAAACAAGAAGAAAGAGCCACATCATTTTTCAGTTTTGACTCAAAAGCCACCATTTAAGCCTTGGTTATATTAATTTCTGAAACATACTTACCTTTGTAAGCAGTTAATTATAAAGTAAGCACAGGAATCTAGTGATTGCTGATTCACAGTTCATGAAAGAGTTATACTATCAGTGTATTTCTGTAGTCCTAGACTCTAAAACTATTGTCATGCTAACTCTCTGCCTTGAAGTTAAGGCTGTTTATACTAGTATTAATGAGCCTTAGGTTGCATTACATGAAATAAAATTATCTTTACACATCCATCCATAATTAGCAGCTCTGCTTCTCAGTGGCATATTAAAAAATGGGGGGTTGATCTTTTTATCAGGTATTTCTAGTCTATGTCAAGTGGCAAGACCTGTTAAAGGAAAAGGAGCAGTGGAATCCACTAAAAACTACATTAACTGACACCCTGTTTGAATTAAAATGCATAGTTCCCTCAAAATAAAATTAGCCACTGGTTCAAAATGTATTACACTTATTGATTCAATGATCAATTTTCTAAGAAACAATCATGGCCCTGGATGTTTGGATTTAGAGGTAATAGATTATCAAGTGTTGTGGAGAGAATTGGGCCCCCTGAAATGTATGTCAAAATCCTAACTTCGTCCTCAACAGTGAGTGTGAGCTTTCCTGGAAATCAGGTCTGTGAATATGTGTTCGAGTTAATATGTACTAGTGTTTCTACTGGACTAGGTTGGGCTCTAATCTAGTGACTGGCATCCTTAGAAGAGGAAGGGAATCTGAACAGAAAGACACAGACACGGAGGGGAGACACCTCAGTGATGACAGACGGGGAGAATGGAGAACCAATGCTTTAGCCTAAGGAATGTGGAGGATATCTGCCCACTTGCCTGAAGCTGGCAAGAAGCAGAAAAGAAGTAGTCCCCCAAGGGAGCCCGGCCCTGCTGATACTTGGATTTTGGACGTCTAGCCTCCAGAACTGTGAGAGAATTAGTTTCTATTGTTTTAAGGCACCTATTGTGCAGTATTTTGTTACAGCAGCACTTAGAAATCCATATGCCAAGCACTAAGAAAACTGCACTAAATCCAAAGACAGACTGGGTATCTTAAGTCTTTGTTGTACCATGGATGTCATATGGAAAAAGCCCGTGATCTCTGATCTTATAAAGCTGTTCTAAAACTGAGAATGCAGACTGGAAGAACCCTCTGCAAATCAGATGAACCAAAATAAAAATTTCTGGGTGCATAATTCAAGTAATTATTGACTTTCAGTCTTTATTACAGTATGAAGTTATACATGTGACTATTGCGGTCAAGGGACAGTGTACTCTGGGATTCGGGCGAACACTGACCTGAAGGCCTCAGCCTCCTCCAGGCCTCCATCCCATGTGCCTTCAACAAACGGGCAAATGACATGGTAACGGACACTAAGCTCGCTGTATAGTTAATTGAAGGTTACCAGCAGTAAGAAAATGGGGCAGAAATAAAATGAATTTAATGACAGCTTTGGGGCATTTAGGCTACTTCCCAGCCAGATGGAAGGAACTGAAGATTCAGAGTCACACAGTTGATGAGCTTCCCAGAGTACGTGTGAGGGATAAGTCTTTATACTGGGGTTTTAGAGTTCAGAGTATAGGTACTGCCAATTGGTTTCATGAAATACTGGCCTCTGCAGAGCTAAATAAAGCCCAATGTGATTTCAAAGTTTGATTGCTGCTATGGCCTATATCCCTGAATTTTGTTTAAGAAGTTGGAAGATAGTCCTCTAGAAATGTAAGCATGTCATAGCATTCCTAAGAAGGTCAGGACCCAAATTATCACCTGTGAAACAGGGATATACAGTGCAAGAAAATTCTCCTAGAAGTCTAGATGAACTAATAACATGCAAGAATGTCTTATGCTTTTATTAAGACCACAGGGTGTCCCAAAGTTCACCCCTAAAGTTGCCAGACACAGGGAAACTTGGAAATCGTAGCTAAATGTACCATTTTAAAAAATATTCATTACAGACGCCCGCCACATACACCGAAGGTAGAGGGACTGAACCCAGCCTGGGACAGCTAAACAAGTGCAACAAAAAATAACCCGGCATTGTGGTGGGTGCCTGTAGTCCAGCTACTTGGGAAGCTAAGACAAGAGAATCACTTAACCCTAAGAGGTTGAGTTTGCTTGGAGCTGTGATGCCAGGACACTCTCCTGAGGGCCACATAGTGAGACTGTTTCAAAAAATATTCATTACAAAATTTTAGACAGAGGTGGACTCTGTTTCAAAAAATATTTATTATAAAATTTTAGACAGAAGTGGCAAAAATTTTACAAAATAGTGTATTTAAAAACAATAATGTACTTACAAACTATTCTCTGAGTGTCATGTTGACCACCTCTTTGTAAAATTTGGTAATGAATAGTTTGTACATAAAGGCCCATTTAGCTACAATTTCCCATTTTCCCTGTGTATGGCAACTTTAGGTGACCTTTGGGACACCCCATAGAATCCAGCAGAAGGTAAATATATTTGGGTGGCCATCAACAACATCCCAACATTGTTTGTATCCAGAAGTGTCAAAGCTGAGGACATTAGGTTAGAAGCACTGATTATTTACAAGCTGGGAGTCAAATCTGTACAGTAAATCTAAATTATGCACCATATTGCCCAGAGATATACTTAAGGATGAAATATAAAATGTGAAAGCCAATGAGAAAATACATATGGTGCCCAGGACTGTATATCGAGCATAAAAATGTATAATCCTTTTTGCTGTGACCCTGAAACTGCTCTACAAAATAAGATCTTTACAAAAAGCAAGATAGAAATTACAGAAAGTAATATGTTTATAAAAGACTATAAAAAGTGAACATCATCAACAATACCAAGTTGCTTTACCCTTTCACCATGACATTTCATGGACAGAAATATAAAAAAGACACTCCCTGCAGAGCTCTCGGTGTAAAATATACATGAAGACCGACAACGTTCTCAAAGATAACCCAAAGGCCAAATACAAAGACCCGAAGATCCCCATCAAGATAGAAATAAACTACATAACTAATCCTGACTCTTAAGTAAACTAACCAATAATGCACCAGGGAAAAGAAATTGTTAGCTGCTTTTCTAAAAAAAAAAAAAAAAAAAAAAAAATGTTTGTTGTTATCTTTGCATTTTTTCAAGACTTGATGTAGAAACTCTCAGATCATTTTGTGTATGTCCCATTTATGTGAAGTAATTTAGCTGCATATGTAGGGAAGTCATTCAGGAGGAACAAGCTTTGCCTGAAAGTGAATGAAACACTTGGAAATAATTTCAGAGTTTATGACAACTTCCAATAGCACCTAATTTAGAGTCAGATCCATGTTTATTAGCCAAAGCTATCTCAAGTTATAAAGGAAAAGAGAGTATACAAGTATATATGTGTGTCAGATTGTACTTATGGGGCAGAGTTGAGGAGAGTGGGTGAGGACTCTATCATTTCTGGAGAGGTAAGTGACAGAATCTAAGAAGTCATAAGGTAGAAAAATAGAAAATAAATGCTCATAAGAATTTAGAAGAAAATAAAAGAGAAATACATTATTCTTTAAAAAAAATCCCTGCTGGCCAGATATGAAGGAACACACTTATTGGTTGATACTTCTCTTAGCCCTAATATTCTGCAATTTCAGACTGCTTCCTAAACACTGGCATCTTTTAACCTGTAATAAATCTTTCACTGACATTGAAACATTTAAACATTACTGCTAGAAGCAAATATTTAATAAAATGAGTACCCCATATCAAAAGTTGATAATTCACACCTGTGAAATAGGCATTTTTATGTCAAGCCCAAATAATATGTAGCAACCTCCCATAGCTTACTGTGATCAGGAGCAATTCATGACATGTTCTAATTAGAAAGCCAAGGTAACACACTCTCAGAAGAAATGAACATACGTGAGCAGTGAGATCTTAATAATGGCAGAATGTTGGCTTGGCGCCTGTGGCTCAAGCGGCTAAGGTGCCAGCCACATACACCCAAGGTGGCGGGTTCAAATCCCCAGCCCCGGCCCGCCAAACAACAATGATGGCTGCAACCAAAAAAAAAAAAAAAAAAAAAAAAAAGGCCAGGCGTTGTGGCAGGCGCCTGTAGTCCCAGCTACTTGGGAGGCTGCGGCAGGAGACTCGCTTGAGCCCAGGATTTGGAGGTTGCTGTGAGCGTGATGCCATGGCACTCTACCCAGGGGGATGGCTTGAGGCTCTGTCTCAAAATAAATAAATAAATAAATAAAATAATGGCAGAATGCTAGAGAAGAGAGAACCGAGGAAAATAGTTAATATGTTACTTGGCTCAAGCGACTGAAATATAAAACACAGAACACTGCTTGTCTAAATGTCAGGAAGCAGTTTTCCCTTGCTCTCTCCTAGGTTTTTCCTATTTTTATTTAAACATTTAGATTTACAATATCAGATAAAAGTTAATTCAAATAGCCTAACTATATCTATAAGACAGCAAACTAGTATATCGAGAAGCTATAAGTATTGACTGAAAAACGGGTGTGGGAAGGAAGGTGGAATTTTATCTCTAAGTATTTGTTGAAACTTACTTGCATATCTCAGACTGATTTCAAGATTGTAGGACGATATGATAAAACAAAACTTAAGTTCAAGATTATAGGATGATATGATAAAACAAAACTTAAGTAGGACATATGTTTGAAGTTTAATGTTTAACTGTAAGAATAGCGTATCAGTGCTTAGAATGTTCCTAGTGAGGACTTCCTCTAACTCGACATTCTATCAAGAACTTTGGGTGATTGAAAAACTATGGCCCATGAACCTGTAGCTGGGGCAGACTGTGGTCTAGCAGTGCAGACGATGTTAGTGTGAGACTTGAAACCACTAGAGTACACTTCACTCTTTCCATTGAGTATGGAATAAAAGTACTAAAAGTATTCAGGAAAACGATGTGTTAGTGTCTAGGAAATTTAGAAGGTAGACAGGGAGCGTAACTTGGTTCCCTAGATGGAATTAAAATTTAAGATGGATGCGTTCAAAGGAATGGGATGGACAAAGTAACAGGCAGGGAGGATGTATAGCCTTCCCAAGGGACTGCCAACAGAGGGTGTGTGGGGAAGGAGTATGTGTAGTGATGTGCTTTGGTTTAGGTTGAATTTTCGAGGAATTATAACCAAGTTGAGGTAGGGCATGTTGAGGACTGCATTTATTATCACAAAACTATTATAGGTTGCTAAAGACGGCATATGATAACAAACTAGTATTTTCAGAAGATCTTTCTGGAGGTGGTATGCAGCCTGTGTTATAGGAAAAGTACCTTCTGTTAGGGAGATGAGCCAAGAGATTCTGACTCTAATCTAGTCAAGAGGTGCTAAGAGCTTGCACTAGGGCTGTGAACATGGAGACAAAACCTCAAATCCGAGAGAGATATTTTAAGTAGGAAATGTCAAGGCTCGCTGATGGGTTGTGTACATAAGATAAAGGTAAAAGACAAGAGTGAAAGAAATTGATTTCTAACTCTATTCCCAATGACTGAACGCATGGTGATACCATGTCTGAGAGAACTAGAAAGTCGTAGGAGTTGCTCTTTGTGAAAATAAATCAATCAGCTTGACTTGGGATTGAGTGAGATGCACGGCCATGTGATTCTGGAGACATTTAGGACCTGTAGGTGCTGTTCTAACTTAGAACTGGGCAATTATCCTTTCACAGGGGAGAGAGAAATGGCATGAGCACTATTGATGGATGGTCTTCTGGGTTTATGTACCCACATAGCATGAACTCCAATTCTCATGAAGGTTATGTCTTACATACTGAGTACTTACTGTGTGGGGGGTCTTGTCCTACACATATCTATTTGCTACTTGCTTCCTCATATAATCCTGTAAATTAAACATCATTAACTCCATTTAATAAATTAAGGAATTGGCCCAAACTGATTACAAAGATGGCCCAAGATGGCCACACCAGTAAATGACAGAGATGATCTAGTTAGTCTGACTTATAATACTCAAGCCATTTTCAAAAGTCATATGTAAATGCACATACTACTGGCTTTTGGAAAAATGCTGAAATGAAGCCAAACTTCATTCTCTGTTTCCCTTTACCAATTATTCCTCATGTAATCCAAGCCCAACATACAGCGCCATATCCCAATACTCTCATCCCTTCTGCAAGCTCTTTGCTATATTAATAGTACTCCTGTAAAGTATAAAAGCAAAACAAGTAGTTTCAGTTGTGGTAGGCAGTGATCAGTCAGGAGCAGATATGCTTTATACTAAAATTTTCACACAACAGTTCAAGAAAAAGATATGTAAATAATACCAAAGACATAAACATTCTAGAGTAAAACTATCACGTTTAACCTAGGCCCACAACCAATACATAAGAAACTTTGTCCTCACAATTACTTAAAATCAAAAAATCCAAAAGTGTGTGGAGAAGAAAGTTACTCATGAGAGAGCTGTATATTCTTCCAAATATAGCATATGATACCTTTTTCTAATCATGCACATCTTGTTTCATAAAGTAAATATGAACCCCTGGAACCCTTGGGGCTTACGTTTATAAGAAATAAGGCTCAGGTCGGCACAAAGACTAAGGATGTGAGACAGCTTAGTAAGAGGGAAGGCTTTTTTCTGCCTCTGCCTTAACCCCTCAGGGCTCCCTGGTTAGCACTGTTTCCTGAATGGAACTCAGAGATGGATTGACTGATTAATTGATTGACTGATAAAATTGATTACCAATTTTAACTTGGTATTAAGACTTTTACTGTCTGTGTTATACTTAGCCATAGTGACAAATAGAATCATCTTCATGTATTCATTGACATTTAGCATAAAAATAAAATTTTAAGGGCCAGGATCAAGACCCAGGATAAATGTCTAACTTGTGTCTTAAAAGGACAGGTGTAGATTTTGGAGTTATAGATGAGACGAACCATTAAAACAAAAGGAAGAGAAGGAGAAAACAAAATGGAATATAAAACAAGGAAATGATGAATTTTAAGATGCTTTGAATAGCAATGAAAGACCACTAGCAATGGTAACATGAAGACAGTCACTAGAATGGACTGGGGAGAAGACAGACTTCATGAGATTAAATGAGGAAAAGAGGAGAGAAATCAAAAAAGAAAATTCTAAAAGCTCTAAATCTTAGTTTGTTTAAGCTGAGTACACATTCGAAAACAATGATTTTTTTAAGAAATAGAAAAATGTGAATAATAAACCTAAGACATTACATTCGGGATTTATAATGAATAGAAAAATAATTTGAAATGTAAAGAAGAAATGCATTCTGATATTCTCTAATCCCAGTTTATATCAAAGTTAAGATATAACTAGTAAAAGAGGTACTATATAGAAAAAATAAGAGACACAGCTTCCTACATGATCAGAAATAAAACTACATATATTTTTGTCAATCCTTGGCAAAAAAAAATTCTAGCTTTTTAAATATGCATGAATTTTAAAAAAATAAATCAGTTGTAGTCTTGTTAAAACTGAGAATTCAATATGTTTGAGTAGTACCTGTGTGTCATTTAAATCATTGCTAGACATTTTCTTCTAATAACCAAACATTAAAAAAACTAAAACTATCTTTCATAATTGAGATAGTTTCAAGTATAAATATAATTTAACTGAATAACAGCTGAAGATGATTGAAGAAAGTGTGTTCATTTAAAAAAAAGGACTTAATTGTATTTTTGAGATGTAAGTCAGTTTGTTTTTCTCCTTTATCCTGTGTATGTGAGTGTTTTAGAAAATTGTTTCATCTGTGCATTGGCAGTGAGGCATTGCGGGGCAGTGTAGAGAAATTTATTTGCTTAACTTAGTGTCTCCAAATACGAAAACGTTACTTTTGTAAGAGAAATACTCAAACATTATGCTGGAAAACAAAATTCCAGTTTCCATATATGTTTGTGTACTACCTTATCAACAACAGCTATTCTTGAAATGTGTGATTCTCATTGACTTGTGGAAATTAAACATGTATCAGTAAAGGTACAACCTAATAACTGCATTTATTCCCAAAATATTCAAGCCAGCTTTGACAATCCTCCGCACTGAGTGAAGTCTTAAAGTTTCCTAGGAAGTACCAACTTATCTCTTCTTTCTTTATTGTGACCAACATTAACGATTACCTTTATTCCCCAATTTAAGACTTCACTGAAGGAACAAGCTAACTACTAAGATTTCACTGAAGGAACAAGGAGCATTGTCAACTAAAATATGACCTATTTCCAATTATGCCTAGCCACATGGTCGAGGACAATTTGCTTAAAGTTTTTTGGTCTTAGTGTCTTCACTCTGCAATTAAATTATTGTGGCACATTATTCATCTGACTATCCTTTTAAAGCCCATGGATCTTGTGAGTAAAATAAATTAGTAAATATGTAAAACAGCAAAACCTTAGAAAATAGAATTGTGAGGTTGAAGGAGGGCTGAGCTCTACCCAATCAGCGTCCAGCTCTCATTGCCTGTCCCTTGCCGCCATCTTTGATCTCCTTCCTGGGAACCACTAGAGCTCCATGGAGCGCAGTTTGAAAAGCATATGATGTGTCATCTCTAAGATTGTCACCAGCTCTAAAATTCTGGATTGTATGAAAAGAAATCCGAGTGTGGTCCTATCCCTTTGCACGCCAGATGAAATAAGAAGCTTCTAGGGTTTTATGCTGATCATAAAGTCCAGGGAGCCCGTCCAGGGAAGGACTCTCAGAGAGTAAGAGACACACAGTCTTCAATGGGAGTGAATGCTGGGATTTGTTTCCAATGCTACTCACTGTGATCTGGCACCAAACACAATGCAGTCCTGTCAGGCCCTGGTAACATTTAACCGTTTTGTGGCACTTATCGCACTTGGTCGGGCAGTTGCCTTCAACCCAGTAATGATGCATGACCTAGAATGGAATAGCATCACCATGATAAGAGGAGGCATTCACACTCACCACCTTCAGAAAGAAAGCACAGTCCAAAACTTACATCTGTGTTCTTTTTGGACTTCACATAGGTCTTGATGCAAGAGGGAGGTGCTCTGGCCACACAGCGTTCGTGGACTGTGTACTTGCAGACTGAAAGGAAACAGGTACCCAAATTCAGAGCTAATCCTGGTCCTGATTGCAATTTTATAGGGAAAGAATGACATTAACAGAACCTCATTTCAGATCCACTGCTCCCTAATCAATCCAATCAGCCACATCAAGGAAAAGTCCAAGTCGACTGTTTCTACCATAGAATACAAAAGGCCAATTAGTACAGGAAATATTATGCATGTAAAAAACCAAGACTCCTCTATCATGGCATAGCAGGAAATGCTTAATTAAATCAGTCCTCACTCAAATTTTTCACAATAATTCCCAGATGACAAAAATATTAAAGACAAATTGAGGACTGCCAAATGGCTTGGTGTCATTTGCTAGATGGAAGACATCTATGTTTTAAAAAGTATAGGCATGAGAGTAGCTGGCAGGGATGGAAATAAAAGCCCATGAGTTTGTGCTATTTTGTCTATTGATTTATCTAAACCTTAAATGGCTGATTAGTCTTTTTCCACAGAATAGATTTTATCATACATGCTAACCCTTTAGTAAAAGTTAATCCCTCATCCACCATCAAAGCATTGTTTGTCCAAAAAGGAGCAACTTCTGCTAGGCAGCATGTGGTATATACATGCAAAAATTTATTTATATGCAAATATATGATAAACAAGCACATATATATGTGTGTGTACATATGCTTTTCTGTATCTTCAAATTTTTTGTGGTTTGAACCTGAATACAGATATTTTTTAGTAAATTGCTGGTCTCAAATCAAGAGTTCTATATATATACAGAGCAAAATGTAAATAAAAAACAACCATGTTGAACACTCATCAAGACAGAAACAAAAACTAACCACTGCCTGAAATTAGAATGAAAAATATTAAATCCAAATAATACATATATATCTATAACAAAACAGTTCCAAAATATTTATTTCTTTGATTTTTCTTTGGCAAAATTGACATAGAAAATGTACTTTCTCTTCTATTCCATATTACTAATAATGTTGAGTGTCACATTTACTACATTAATCAGTAAAAATTTGTTACTAAATTTCTCAGCCTTTATACCACCACCTTGAGAGTTATAGTTTTGTTTCATATTCATAAAATCTATCATAAAAATTCCTTTACTTAAAAATGATAGAACTTTACAAACAAAACACTTCCTATTTATATGGAGAATGGTCTAGTATAACTAACTTTTCAAACTTGGCCATCAGAAACTGTACTTTAACATGACGTGGCAAATTCTATGTAGCTTTATTAAATCCTTAAACACTTAAGAAGTCATATATATATATATGTATATAGCACTAAAACATGATATTTGGTGTCAAATAATAAATCTGAGAAAAAGTAATGTCTTAACAGACAACCAAAGAAGATGCTAGCTTAAAAAAATAAAAAACAAAAACCCTGAAATATCTGCTTTACTTTAGTAGAAACATCAGGGGGTGTAAAATTTTTTTAGGTAAATAGGCTGTAGATTTAAAAATACTTGATTTAATAAATAATTACTATTAAAGACTTATAATCAGCAGTACTGTATTAATAGAATAAAATGAACATTGCGAAGATGAGTGAACTAAAATTTTAAAAACAGCCACAACTCATGAATTGTCAAGGCTTGGAATTCCAATATCCATTAACAACATATGAAGATTTCCTTTATGATACCACTGAAAATAATGTGCTTGAGGTATAAGATATGTTTGTATTCTTTGTGATTTCTTCATTTGAAAGTAAATCTATTTTAATCAATTAATGTCCATGTTTTATTTAAAAAAAAAAAAAAGATCAGAAAGAATGGACTCATTGTAAGAAGTCCATGTGAATGAAGTGGCTAAATCATGGGGGAAAAGACAAGTGTGAGTAAGACATAAATATTAGAAGCTTGTGGAAATCTTTAAAATAATCCCAGCAGAAACAGGAAATTTTGAATACATTAAACTATGGAGGGAAAAAATGGCTCAGGAATTGAAAAATGTCCTTCATTCTTTTCCAAGGGGATAGTTTCCAAAACTAAATATGTAAAACTAGAATAATCTTAGAATTCAAAATCACATCATAGGAAAACATAAACCACAGGTACAGGGATAGTCTGGATCACTTCTTGGGTCTCCAGCTACTGATGGGGCATTTGCATGGAATCAGCCTTTCCCCACTCCAGGTGACGACGTCCAGGCAGAGCAAACGTACTCACAGGAACAGCAAAGGCCCTGCTTCCCCACGCCGATCAGCATGTTCAGGCACAGGTTGCAGTAAGCAGGTTTGTTAAAGTGCTTGAGTCTCCACACGTGCTGTCCATCATCCTTCACGTTCTGTACAGGACGTAGGAGAAACAGATTTCACTTAATGAAATAAACAGTGGAAGATGTAAGTGCCAATAAAATTCAGAGCAGGACTGAAGCATGTGAAGACAATCTGTTATTTCATCTCTGACTTTCTCCAAGATCACCACAGAGCCTTTAGAAAAACACATGTGCGCGAGTGGAATGAGAGCGTGCTAACAAATCGCTGATGCTATGGCAACTCACAAATTCTTGCTATTATCAATACATTGATAGCACACCCCAAACCATTATAATGACCTGCCAAACTGAGCTCTCCCTAAGAACACGGACATGTCTGCCTCCTCTTTGTTAAGTACTTTATCCTTAGTATAGTTTCATAAGCAAATAAATGGAGAGAAATTACCCAAGTGGAAAGGCTGATAAATGAAAACTTGCAAAGACTTTGTTAGCCCTTCCTTGACAGTCAGAATGTGCACAAGTCAGGATAATGGTTAGGTCATGTAAAGAGGATGGGATGAGATTGGGAAAGCAATACATAAAAGGCATCAGTGATGTTTAGAGTTTCATATGAGGATTCCTTCTATCATATTATAATATGTATTAATATGTTTCTATATGTCTCAAATAGTGCATTTTTAACAATATACCTTTAGAGGATCTAATTATGTTACCTGTTTACCCCAACTTTTATAAAATGTGATTTTAATCTCACAGAAAGTAATTAAAGGCATTAAAGCTACTTTACCATATTGATCTATAATAACCACTATAGTTATTTTCCACAACAAAACTTTAAGTTTAGGTTAATTTCCCAATTTAGTAAAATACTGTAAATATTGTTTACTCATCTAAGTAAAATTATATAATCCACATCATAATAGCTACTTCTCTAATGTATGTTTAATCACATCTGCATTGTTCAAGGTTAAGTAGCAAGGGCATGGTGGCTAATGCCTATAATCCTACCGCTTTGAGAGGCTGAGGTGGGAGGATCACTTGAGGCCAGGAGTTCTAGATGAGCCTGAGAAACATAGCAAGACCTTATCTCTACAAAAGTAAACATTTAAAAAATACCCAGGTATACTTATGTAGTCCCACCTACTTGAGAGGTTTGCTGTAGTCAGGACAGCTGTAGTCCCAGCTACTTGAGAGGATTGCTTAAACCCAGAAGTTTGAGGCTGCAGTAAGCTATGATTACACCACTATCCTCCAGCCTGGGTGAAAGGATGAGAGTCGGTCTCTAAATCAATTAGTTAATTACAATGAAATAATTTGATGTTTATGAACCTCCTGAACCTTTTACAAGAATATCAAAATATTAAATTAGGTGATTATATATTATTGCTTTTATTGTCATAATTTCCCCCTTTAGCATGTACTCAGTATGTATCTACTACATTGCATCAAACTTTGAATAATATCAAATATCATTTGTTGGCATTCTATTGAAACCAGATAAATCAAAACTTTTCAGGTTAGTCAAATTGTCCTATATCTTCTAGTACATTTACCTAATAACATTTTGTTTACCTACTCTGTGTTGCATCACTAATACTAATTCTGTAAAAACATGCCCAGATCATCTTGTTTCTCTTGATAATAAAATATTAATTATAATGGTCCTAAACACTTTTTCCTATTCCCAGTCAAGAGATATGCCCTTAGATTTGTAAGAGAGGAAATCTATAGTAACTAATTCGTACATTAGAACCAGAAATGTCAAATTTGCATCATAATATGAAACATTAATGGTGAAAATGTTTCCTGGGAGATAATTCTCCATGGGTCTCTTGAATTTCTTCATGTTTTGCAAGCAGTAGCACTATCCCTTTTTCTAGGCTATCTTTTCAAGGATAATTGAATAACAAACAACTGTGGGCAACACAGATGTCTCTTCCTACAGAGGAGAAGGCAGGTTTACTTATCATCTAGTAGAATAAAAATAATCTCTCCTTTCTAAACAAAGTTTAAACACGTTTGTCATTGCACATTATAACAGATTTAGTTTTCCTAAGCCAGGGGTTCCAAGCTCTGATGTTATGCACAGCAATTACTTGGTCATGCTCTATCATCCCCATGAGGGCAAAATAAACTGGCTCAAATTTGAAGTTCTAGTTGCTTGTTTTGCTAAGAATAACAAAGTCAATTGTTTCTGATCTAGAAGTCTCATGTCTTCTGCCAACATCCATGAAACCCTGGCAAGCTGCAAACACCTAATTTGCAAGTAGAATAAATCTCAGACCCTTTAAAATTCTTGATAATGCTCCGATTTGTCTTTCTGACAAGGAACTAATAAGTTCTCAACAAAAGTGGCTATCCAGAAGGTGTCAAGAAGAGAATTTCAGAAGACTTAGGCATTTCTATTTTCTTCCAAAACTTAAGAAATAGGCTGCATAGCAATTTCTGAACCCAGTTCTGGTTTGCAAGAATCAAAAGATTTCTAGTTGATTTACAATGTTTAAACTTTATATGTTTAATTTTTCTATATTTCCCAAACTATCTATATTTTTAAATTTTTATTCTCATAAATAAAAAGTAAATTTCTAGAAGTGGAAAGTTTAAATATGGGATTATATTTTAAATAATAAATGTTAAAATTAACAGTTAAATACTTAAAAAGTGTTAAATAAAAGAAGAAAGGGGAAAAATTAATTTTCATATGTATTACTGTTCTCAGAACCTTGCCATTTTATTTTTAAATGATTGTCCATTACATGTGAATAAGCTTCATCCTCTGAAGAGCACATATGGACTAAGTTAGCTGGCATTTTCCTTATCAAAAAAACAAACAAGTCTGAACGTGGGTGTTCTGTCAATCAGAACACTTAGCCATGTTACAGGCTGCAACTGATATACAAATCCATTACCCAGGCATAAAATGCTTTACCAAAATACAAATTAAATAGCTTTCTAGCTCTTGGCCGGATATATTGCCAAAATATGCAAGGGATGAAATATGTATGTGACTTCTTTAAAGGAAGAAATTGAAACCAGGAGCCAACTATTTCTCAGCAGTGGAAATTATACTCCAACTCTCTGTATTTTCATGTCCTGTCTTGTTTGTCTAATTTAGATTGTAAACTTAGTGGTGGAGGGGAAGAATCTGTCTCTGATATTCTGTCAGCCCATACAGCCCCTTCCTATTAGTACTTCTATTGCAAATAAATATTTATTGCCAAGAAAGGAATTCATTTTTTTTATAGAGGAAAAAGAAATAAATAAACAGGGAATTCAGAAGATTTGATTTCTGGCCTACTATGAAACTGTGGATAAGCCATGTCACCTTCTTTCTATCTTTCTCTCTAATGAAATAAAAGCACCCACTTTCCCTTCCCAGGCCGTGGTGTGAGGTTGTTTCATTATACAATACCCGTGAAGTTAATTGAGCTCCTCAGAAGACTGGTGTTACATAAACAGCAAATATTATTCCTGCCATTGGGTTGAGTTGTGCAACATATCAGTGTTTCAGCCAAAAGAATTAAGAAGGATATTTGATGTCTGACTATACTTTATTTCATAAAAAAAAATATATATTTTTTCATTACCAGACATAACCCTCTCTGTTATAATGAAGCAGTCCAGTTCTGTGCTTGTGACAGAGAAATGCTTAATGAATCTTAGACAAGTCTGTGCTGAGAAGGAGCTTTCCGTCTTCCTCAATTCTCAATTCCCTGGAAGTCAAAGGGATGTTTCAAAGGGAAGGAATCTCTTTGGAACGTTTTGAAACCTATTTCATAATCCTAGTGATCTCTGAAGTTTTAGCTTTTCCCTAAATACTTCAAAGATCACATAAAATGTTCAAGTCAGTGAGGACGTTGTAAGTATTATTTTCTTTTCAGAAGACCTTAACGAGAAATTTTAGTGACACCCTGGTCCGAATGCTTCTACCCCCTACAAGTATTCCACCTGACATACAGAAGACATAATATTGCCGGTCACTTCTAACTCATGACACACTAAGGACCATTAAATTACATACTTATTTATTCAAGCTCTCCAAAAAATTATAACAATATGAAAGAAACTATTCTTTTAGACAAAAAGGTGAGCTGCATTAAGTCAAGGCAAGGAAAATGAAGAGAGAAGTTTTAAAATTCTGGTTAGAGAGTAATCAACTGCTTGTGTCTCCACCGCACTCTCAGGGGTCAGGCTGGAACCCCGCCATTACTGAGGCTCAAGGGCAAACTCCATAGCAGGTAATACTCTATAGTCATTTTCCTAGAATCACCTAATCCTGAATCTCAAGAATTGTTGTATTCATCTAGTTTCATAACACTTTTCTAGATTGAGTGATTTATACAGCAGAATAAAAACTCTCAACTCAATTGCAATTTTTAAAATTAGAGTGTGAAACATCAGTTTCCTAAATACTATTTAATTTACTAAAAATACATCCTCTTCTCTACTCCATCACTCAGAAATTTCATCAGAGAACACATTTCATTTTACTTAATGGAATCAGACCAAGAAAAAAAAAGGAAGAAGAAGAAGAAGGAGAACGTATCCTAAACCATATCCATTTAAGGGAAAGTTTAAATTACATATGGAGATTAAAGACCAGAACTTTTTTCACACTTATTGTGATATCAAAATATAAATCCTTTCAAAACCATCCATAGGCTAGATGTGGGCACAGCAACCTACCACTAAGAAGTTAAGGTATCCTTATTTCAAATGAGGCTACTGCTTAATTGTGTATTCCAGTTTTAATGACAATATGAATTCATGTCATCCCTGAAAAGAATTTTTTTTTTTTTGCAGTTTTTGGCCAGGGCTAGATTTGAACCTCTGGCATATGGGGCCAGCACCCTACTCCTTTGAGCCATAGGCACTGCCCCTGAAAAGAAATTTTTATAGAGAAATTCACTAGTGATAAAAAATTATGGATTTCAGAAGTCAAAGCATTATTTTTCTTGTCTTAGAAAAGAAATGTTTAACCTGAAAGAGTATGAGAAAAGAAAAGGCATGTTCTTTACTAACTTCTTTTCATTTTTTCCAGAGAGTGCAACTGCCACTCACAAAATGACCTACTTAGTCAATAATGGAACCACAAAGAAGATCATTTGATGAAGTTCAGTAATCCTAGGCTATCTCTCCATTAGTCATCATGCCTTGCTGTGGTTGTCTGATTATGCAAAGTAAAAGGTATCAGGTTCATTTCTCCTGGATGATTAAAAATAAATTAAAACTCTTTCTGTTTGTAACCTAGCAAATTATTGACAGAATACATGAGCAGTTAGCATATTATTATTTGACATTGAGTCAATTATGACCAACATCCTGTTTTTATAAATAAAGTTTTATTGGAACATAACTTCCCTGGTTCATTTACATTGTGGGTACAATTTTACTATAACAGCAGAGCTGAGCAGTTGCGACATAGACCCTATGGTCCCAAAGCTTAAATTATTTAATGTATTTTTTTTACACACAGTTTCTAATTAGTGGAACAGAGTCTATTGCTAAATACAGTTACTTAAAAACAAAAATATACATTTAAAAAGATGTTTACTAACAATAATTTTTCAATGAAAAATTCACTGAGGAAGAACAAATAAGTCTTAGGTATAATTTTTTTATTGTGATCATCATAATCAAAAAGCCATCCAAATTATCAGTTTTCTATCACATGTAGGAGGCACTAAGATTTTTTACCCTGTCTCATCAGTTCATTTGGGGTATTATAGCCTGTGTGGAGCCCCTTGTAAGAGAAAAGAAATGACTCTTACTCTCTAGCATTTGGTATAGAATTGATTCCTAATAGATTACAGACCTGATTTTGTTATTAAAACAGATATTCTTCAATAAAGTAGCCTTGTAACTTCTGTTAATGGAGAAAAATAAACTACAACGAAATCATAACACTTGCCTCTTACACTAGGAGTGAAGGTTACTCTCCAAGGACAACACTCTTCTCTGTGTAATTTGGCTAGGACACTACAGTCACTGCCAAATACACGGTGGTATTTAACATGCACTATCAATTAGAATCTACTCCCCGAGCTCATAATTGACAACAGAAAAGAGCATATAGGACGGAATAACAAGACAGGCTTGGCAATAAGTGGTCAGATTCCAAGCTACAGTATCTAGATTTCCAATTTAATAAGCAAAGGGGAGGGGAATTGCACCATGGATCAAATTCTCTACAGGTAATAATGTAACACATTAACTGCCTACAGCTAGGAAATAAATCTCAATTACTAAAAAAGGCCCTCATCACTCCGTTGTCTTGGTGTCACTCAGCTTTTTAAAACAATTACCATGCCTTAAAATTAAAAAGCTGTTTCTAAAAAATAAATGCTTTATTTTGGGGATCATTACACATGATTGCGTGGCTTACATATTTTTAAAAGACAATTTAAAATAAGGATGGCTGATTCTTTTCAAAAAGAAAATGTGAAAGAAAGGGAAATTTCTTTTTTCACATTTGTTCTTCCGGGGAGGCGGGCAGTGGGGTGGGAGGGGAGGAGGATCCAATCTTTTATAATTTAAAGTACTCCCTCTAAATGTTAAAATAATGTAGCTCTGTCATCTAGTGGCAACCACTGGTAACACAGCTCTGGAACACAGATTGATTTCTCCTGTTTAGCTCCCCAAAATTCCTTTTCACTAAAAACATCAAATACAAATTTAAAAACATATTAAGTAAATTACACCTAAGGAACAGAGTGTATGTTAAGAGCAAAGAATTGTCCTCCAATTGAAATAACTTCCCGCTATCCTAGAAATTAATGATATATTTTTATCTTTTAACTAAAGGCTGTTAGTTAAATGCATATGAATTTGTAGATATATTATCCATGCTATTTATACAAATTCACAAACATTTAAATTTACAAATTAAATTTGAAAAAGTTTCTAAACAGTTTACAAAGAAAAACAAAGAATATGGGGAAGGGGGAGGCTGGGTGGAGGGAGGGTGATTGGTGGGACCACACCTATGGTTCATCTTACAAGGGTACATGTGAATCTTTCTAAATGTAGAATATAAATGTCTTAACATAATAACTAAGAAAATGACATGAAGGCTATCTTAACCAGTTTGATGAAAATATTTCAGATTGTATATAGAACCAGCACACTGTCCCCCATGACTGCATTAATGTACATAGCTATGATTTAATAAAAAATAAATAAATAAATAAAACTTTTGGTGACATTTAAAATACAGGTATTAATTCTAACTTTCTGTACTTTTCTCTAATTTCTGCTGCTACCCATTTGCTTAATCGTTCCTGCATCTTTCCTTCTTCTTTCGTACTCGAATTTCCATATATACATGCAATATATAGATTAAAAACATAAAATTCCTTTTCTGGGAGCCATTATGACTGGAACGTTCTGACTAGAGCCCTCTGACAACTATTTTTCAGCATGCTGTTGCTGTACATTAAACCTTAAGATGTTAACATTTTGTCAGTTTTCTTTTTGTTTTCTCCCACTAGTGTGGTTTAAATAATGCTTTTGTCATAACGTGCATGAACAAGTAAATAAATACCTATAATATAAAGGCATATTACAAGGTATTACAAAGTGGTAGTAAATTATGTGCATCTAATCTATATGGGCAGTATGAAAACATCTGGTACAAGGAAATATAGTTTCATTACTTTTTAAAGTATAGAAATATATTTACAATAATATTTATTATCTCTAGTTTTAATAAATTATTTTAAGGTTATTCCCTTTGAATCACCTATTAGTATTTTTTTATTTTCCTTCATTGACTGTGTCTAAAATGCCATAGGCTGTTAAACAAGGATATTTCTTACGTGCAAGAACAATTTATGTTTTAAAAAATATATAGAAGAGGGTGCCCAAAAATGTTGACACATTTTTAAGAAAAGAAAAAATTGTATTAAAATTGTAATACTTGAGCGGTGCCTGTAGTTCAGTGGCTAGGGCACCAGCCACATACACCAGAGCTGGTGGGTTCGAGTCCATGCCGGTCCTGCCAAACAATGACAACTACAACCAAAAAATAGCCAGGTGTTGTGGCATGTGCCTGTGGTTCCAGATACTTGGGAGGCTGGATCAAGAGAATCGCTTAGGCCCAAGAGTTTGAGGTTGCTGTGAGCTGTGACGCCATGGCACTCTACCCAGGGTAACATAGTGAGACTCTGTCTCAAAAAGAAAAAAAATTGTAATACTCAGTGTGTACCAATGACATTTGTTATCCTGTTATTGTATCTTGAATCTGTTTTTTTTTAATTTCTTTCTTTTTTTTTAGTGGAAACAGAGTCTTGCTCCTGCTCAGGCTGATCTCAAATTCCTTAGTTCAAGCAATCCACCTGCCTTGGCCTCCCGGAATGCTACAATTACAGGTGTGAGCCACCTCACCTGGCCTGTATCTTGTATCTTTTATCATTGCAGAAGTCAAATGTGACTTGAGTATTACAATTTTAATACAGTTTTTCCTTTTCTTTAACTATGTATACATTTTTTGGCACCCTGTGTGTGTGCGCGCGCATAATTTCCTCTCAACTGCTTCAGATATATAATTGCTTTCTATAAGTACTGGTTATCAGTAAAATAGATTCTCTTTATAGGGAGGGGGAATATTGAATGGAATGTAGCACCACAAGGGCCACAGAAAACAATAATGTCGCAAAAGTTCTTGCTTTTGATATGAACTCACTACCTTTTTTTTGGAAAACCTAGATTTCACTTTAAGTACAGGCAAGCAAAAGAGAGAAATTATTTTTTGAATACAAAGGTAATACTGAAAATGAACCGCTGTGTTTGGGGTAAGCACTATTACATAAGGAGTTATTGCTAAATGACGCCATGGCATACTTACTGAAAGTTCCAGGCACTAACAATATACTGAAAGGTGGAAAATCGCCATATCAATTTATAATCCAAATGCGTAGTAGAGAACCTCACTGATTACCACCAGGTCCCCCTCCTTTGTGTAAATGCTTACATTTTCCAACCCCAGGAGCACAAGAAGTGGAATTGTTGTCATTCCTCCTTGAATCCATTCCTCTAGAGACACTGTTCCATCATGATCATAGTCAATCTCTTCCATCATTTCATGGAGAATCTGGAGTAGAGCAGATGAAGGAAAATGTACAATGAATCAATGAAATAAATTTCATATGATATCACAAATCATTATATTAATTTGGCTATAAAAATCATGACTAACAGTTAAATAGGGATAAATGTCTTGGTAATTCAGTACAACATTAATCCTATTACTGAGAAAAGAGTGACTTCATTATGATTTCTAAAACTTGGCTACTTATACTTATCACCTTTTGGAAATAAGTGATTAACTTTTTAATATTTTTTCAACGAACACAGCTCAAACAAGAAGTCATCTTTAATGTAAGAATGAAAGTGGTCTTTAATTACTTTCCCTAGGTTATTGTTTTAGGTTCATATATATGCCAAAAAATGTCTGAACAAATTAACTTCATGGCAAAGAGCTCAAATAATTATTTGCTAAGTAGTAAGGGGCAAGGGAATTAAGTTGCTTTTAATTGCTTGTCAGAACTTAATAGAGCCAAGAAGTTAAAGGATCAAATCGTGTTTGATTAAACTCGAATTTTGAAAGATGATTTGCACATAATAGTTCAGAATGTTCTTACTGGTTATTTGTAACACATTTACCTGTCTGTGGTGTGGGGACACTATCACTACTGACTTCAAAGGGGCACATTGTGAGGATTAAATGACTTAATGTATTATAAATACAAGAGCCCCTAGCAGACATAGTAAGTGCTGTATAGAGAGGTTGATGTTACTATTAACGGAAAATCTCAATGACTTACAAACCTAGGAAGCTTGCCTGCTGAAGAGACAAAGTACTTCCTGTCTAATGGCACCAAGATGGTAAACATGGTCAGAATTCCAGAGAAGAGAGGAACTCACCATGTTTGCATAATGTAGAAATTTTATTCAGGTTTTGGAAAAAGGAAAGATATGCAGAGAACAATAGCATAAAGATGTGAATATGATATAATAAAGGAAATATTTAATTTGTTGATAGGAGTGTTATTTGCCTAAACAGTCCTGTGCATAGTGATTTGGGGTCTTCCTTCAGGAAATACCATATTGAAAAATCAGATTATTTTCTGTCATAGCCATAACCTGAACTCAGAAAGAAGAAACTTTTTAGAAAAAAAAAAAATGTTGCTGGAATAATTTCATTATTCTCAAAATAAAAGAAAGTTCAGAGAAATTATTTAGAATGTGGCAACATGGCATAAGATCTGCATGGCTCAAATGCTCTGCCTCTTGAAATCAGGCAGTTGAACCAGTGGAAATGAATAAATGAGAAGTTAAACCCAGGGCATCTGTTTCAGATGGCTGATGCTCTCATTTTTGTACCTAATAAATCTAACGTTAAAGCCTGTGTTAGTTGGATTAAAATCTCCTTCCAAGCACATCTCAGTCTTCCCTCAGTAACTAGGATCAACCTCGTATGTTCGTTTTTCTTCATGCATGTACGCAAACCAATCAGGAATCTGCTTTGTATACATTTGTTTGCAATGAGGAGAGCTGTTGAAGCATTAGGCAAGAGAAGGCATTTCCCTTGACAGCAGACACCATGCACAAGGCCAGAATTTTATCTTTTCTATTATTTCAAATAGAATAGTGACCAATTTTTTAGTAATACACATGCCAAATTATGCTGTAGTTTATTATATATATTCTCCAGTAGAGAATTCGACCAATGCACTTTCACAGGCTGCTCTCAGCCACCCACTGTCCCCTTCCTATAGGTTCCTGATCTTTTTCTTGTCAAATCTACATCCAAGAGCTAGTACCCACTTCTGTTTTGAAGTCTGATAGGAAAAAAATCACTCCCTACTTCCTTCACTGAGAACAAGCAGGCTTGACTGGTAGAGGAACGAGTTCCCCAGGTAGACAGGTGCATAGAATAAGAGAACCCTGCTTTAGATTAATATAACCAGAATGAATAATAGCACTATTCATTATAAGAAATCCTTGGATTCCAGTGAAAATAGTATGAAGGTGAATCAAGCAGTGAATGAAATACATGTTACCATCTACTTTCTCATTCTGGATGTCACTGCAACCTTGGTAATGAGTCTACCGCTCACTAGCAGCAGAGCATGGGCATTGGCACAGTAAGAAAAATCAGTTGAGCTAACACTGAAAAATCTCCAATCCCAATAAGAACAGCGCTCTCCTTTGTACATAACTTGTGCTTTTCTGGCTTTAAATTACAAAGAAAGGGAAACGCTACTGCATCGCGTAACCATGCCATCATCGTTCCCTTGACCGTATGTATGTGAGCAACAGTCTAACAAATGGGCTTCTACAATTCTTGCAGAGCACCAAACCACTCAAATAAAATTTATTTGTGTTTGCTTTGTTCATGTACGTGTTAGTTGATTCTCAATAAACTAATATCCATAGTTCTTATCAACTTTCCTCAAAATATTAATTGTGGCCAAAGTCAAAGTTGCTGATCAAGTATGGTTTGATATACATATGAATAATGTTGAAATGTTGATATTACTCTTTCAAAACTGTAAATCTTTATGGTCTTATAAGCATAGTTAGATACTGTTTCTTTAAATAATTTGGTTAAAAATCTGTGGCTTGACTTTTAACTCGCTGCAGAGCTTTGGGTAAGTAATTTTAATATATTTGGGTCTCAGTTTATTTATCCACAAAAGAAAAATAATAGTGTATCTACATCAGAGAGTTCCAAGCATTAGATAACACATAGACACAAGATAACACAATGTATGTGTATAGAAAACTATCATCTTCTTTTATGGTATACATGACCTTGGCTTCTGCTTATCCCCATGTATATAACACCACCTTCTAAAATAATCTCCAAGAAGAAAAATGCAAAAGTTACTTCTGAGAGCTTCAGAATATCACATATATCTTATTATCTTATTCAGAATCCAATTTGACTTCTGATTGGAAACAGTAACTTAGAGTTGCTTCAAGCCAAAATCAAGTTACAGTAACACACAAGGGTTCCAGAAAAGACAGAAAAAAAAAAAAAAGAAAGAAAGAAAATAGGTTTTCCAAAATTTAGTCAATAGTTAAATCATTCATATACCTACTGGATTCAGTTCTGTGACATCCCATTCAAGGTACTCGGCAACATGCATCATCTGACTGATGATATTTTCTAGCTCCTGGAGGAGAGAGAGAGAGAGGGAAAAAATTAAATAAATTATATGATTGACTTTATATAATCCTGTACATATATAAGATCATACACACACACACAGGTCTGACTATACAGAAAAAAGCAGCCTGAATGTAAACTCATCTTTACTTTGTCTAGAAATTTTCACCAGGAGAGGGCACAACTATACCAAGAAAAATTGTCTTCTATGGGGAAAAATTATTTGAAAAATGTGGGAGCACATATACTTTTGTACATGATGTGACTTTTAAATCACTGAATAGCCTGACCCTTTGCTTGAAAGCAGAAGTGGAACTGTGGAAGGAAGCCTCTGAGGACAGCTGAGAGGTTTATTTATTTTGATAAACTGAAAACATAAATTGACTGCTCAAGTCATTTATTGGCCAATTTGCTCTGCTAAAAGAATACTCAGGATCAAGGTCTGGAGGCTAAATAGATGTGGAGTTTATTTTGAGAGAGGATAGAATTTTAGTTGGAATTTTCATATTGTTATGCTCAAATGTCAACTCTTTGAAGAACTGGCAGTTAATACATATGGCTTCACTATAAATTGAAACATTTCTCATATCTAATTATTTAATGTTTCAATTTTCTCTATCTTAAATCTCCAGAAAAGATTAAATATAGCTTTGTAAAGTGCCTGTAATTTTATACATAGCCAGGACATAAGTTTAAAAAAGGCATTTCATAGTATGACTAAAAATATAAGAACATAAAAGAATAATAAGGCTTCAAAGACATATTGTACTATAATCTCTAGTCTATCGTCAATGTTCATGAAATGAGAAGAAAATATGATAAAAACGGTTGACTCTGAGGGCACCATGGGTCCCTCTTAGAAACTAATGAAAGTTACAGCCTCTCTCCTCGAAAAATATAAATATGTTCTTTACATAAGACAGATTTTAGCAGAAATGATACAAATATAAATGTACTTATTACAGCTTAGCAAATTTTAACAAGAACTAGAGGCTAAAATTAAGTGTGTGTGTGTGTGTGTGTTACTAATCTCACATCTATTCTACTTTTGCTTTGATATACTGTGACAAGGGTCACAGTCTGTGGCTGTGGCTAAGTTGTAAGAATAGAAACTATTTCCGGTGGACTATGATGTAGGCACATGAGACATTAGACACATTATTTCACCTCTCTGAGACTCAGTTTCCTCATCAGTAAAATGAATATTCTCACTTACTTAGTTTGTAGAATTGCTGCAAAGATTAAACCTAATATCATGTAAAATACACTTATCTTGTCTGGCATATTACAAATGATCAACATACACAAACTGATATTCTTAAACATAGTGGTCACTTTTTAAATTATAAAATTTCTTTCTATTTTTCACCTAAATGAATAAACTGCTACACCTTTAGGGCACCAATACAAGTGCCTTATGAAGGTACAATATGAAATCTGACATTGAAGGAAAACTACTAGAGCACAAGAGAAAACTCTAGAAATTAAATGCAAACCTTTAATTACAAAAAACCCCCACTATTTGTTTAACCATAAATAAATTTATTTCAACTCATTTTTAATATTGTGAATATAGTTATAAACATTGCTAGTAATCTATCATATATGTTAACCAAAAATGGCCAGAGACCAAACAAAGAAACAGTTGGCTGAATTTTCAAATTAGCTACCATCTCAAGGCTAAATCTAATAAAGAAACATTCTTTTGGGTGGCACCTGTGACTCCTGTGGCTCCTGTGGCTCAATGAGTAGGGCTCCGGCCCCATATACTGAGGGTGGCAGGTTTGAACCTGGCCCCAGCCAAAATGCAATAAAAAAATAGCCAGGTGTTGTGGCAGGTATCTATAGTCCCAGCTACCCAGGAGGCTGAGGCAAGAGAATCGCCTAAGCCCAGGAGTTGGAGGTTGCTGTGAGCTGTGATGCCATAGCACTCTATGGAGTACACTAAACTGAGACTGTCGCTAATAAAAAAGAAAGAAAGAAAGAAAGAAAGAAAAGAAACATTCTTTTAACTTAATGTAACAGAAACACTAAATAAAACAAATCTACATTAAATATAATTTGCATTAGTATAGTCATGAATGCTACAGTAAGCATATTGCAATATCCAGAAAAAAATCTAGATTCCTAAGCTGTGAAATGGCACCAGAAAATTAGCAAACTTATTACGTAGCTTGATACCTCAAAATGGAAACAGAACACTACAAGGCACTTAAAAATAATGGCATTTGAAAAATGACTGAGACTTAAACCTAAGAAATCCCACAATCACAGCATCAATTCAGAGTGGTGATCATTTCCTAGAGTAGGAATTGTATATTTTTTCTCTCTCTGGAGAAGCTAATATGCCATTATTCTACTCAATGTTACATAAATATGTCTCTAAAGTTATTGCATAGCTTGTTAAGGTCAATTGGAGCTCTGCCATAGGAAGGTCCATCAGGGGAGGAGAGAAACTGTCTCATTAACAGACACAACAGGTAGTCATCATTTAATGTATCAAAACATGTACTTTTAAACGCACCTGTACACTTCAAAATTTCCAGAATATGACACTTTTCCTTACTACTTTTATCTTTCCTGATAGAACAGCAAATAATATGTAAAATATGTTACTAACAAATATAAAGGACTATTGGATGGAACCTGAGATGGACTTTCATATGATACACTGATTTAAACACTAGAACTAAGAATTTGCTTTTTATAACTCTGAGAGCTAACAAAGCTATCAATAGATCACGCATAAAATAAATATGTAATTATCATTTTGAGTTAATCATACAGAGATATTTTTCTTTTGTTGTTTTTTACAACTAAAACTATGGAATATAAACTGCATAAAATGTGAGGAGAACCTGACAAAGGGAAGTCTTTTAAAGCAATATATAAATATATTTTGTCCACATGCATGTCCAGGAATACTTTTTAAACGTCAGAAAATAATGACATGATTAAATTGACATATAATTTCTTTAAATTATACTTGCATCCTCAATATTTTCTTTAGTGTCAAATTTCACTAATAGTTTTTCCTTCTTTCCAGATCAATGGTCACAAGCTTATCTTATGTTTTATTCAGAAAATGTTGGAGTCTTTCTTTTTTTAATCTAAGTTTAGTTCAGGGGGGAAAAAGTCATGATTTTGTAGCAGACCTGTTCAAAATAAAGCAATCGCAATCTTAGCAGTTTCCTGAGATCAATCTTGTTCAAAAAAGTCAAAAGATAAAAGTGCTGTGTGAGTACATGTAAATTATATTATGTGTGCCTTCTGTGGTAATAGCTATAAATTTATTCATTGCACTTTTCAGGGAAAGAAAAAAAAAACCTCTTTGAAATTTTCACAGAAAATTTGAAGAAAAAAATTACCGAGCTGTCCAGGAAGCCATTCCCATCCGTGTCATAAAGGCGAAACATAACTAGAATAAAAGAGGTGTTAAAAAAAGATTATAGGCAAGTAAGATCAATGTTAGTTTAAAGCATATTCTTTAAAATTTAGTTTCTTTTGAAAACAAATACTAAATTCCTCCCCTGCTCAAAGCAAATTATTTAGCTTGAGTGCTAAATAAGAAATGAATCATTAAGTATATGGGATATCAGATATAGTTTTATCAAATTTTGTTTGTACCTAGGAGACACTAAAAGCACTGGTTTTTGTTCAAACTCTTTATTACACGATCATTCAATGAAACTCAAAAATAAAAGATGAGAAGTTGAAATATTCATGGTCTGCATATTACAGGGCAGGTAGGAGACGAATAAACAACTGACGTGGAATTTTCTAAATCAATTATATTTTGGAAACAGCCATCCATTATTAGGTGAGCTTTGTCAATCACTGCTTTCTTATCCGCGAGATGAGATTAGTCAGCCTGCCATAAGACACATGTTGGTTGTGAAAGTTAAGGAAGGTGATGTGCACAACTGCATATCAAAAGCCATATGTCGCGACACAAATATAACCCACTGACCTCAAGCAGTATGGAGGAGGAAGGAGAGCGAAATAGGGGATTCTTTCTGATGGAGGATACGAACACGGACTAAATCATTATAATCATGGTAAGAATGGTTTATTTATTTAAATCTGAGATGGCGTTTCATAGGGTAACTGATCTTTGAACTGATCAAATAAGGAAGAGAGGAGAATGCCGGCTGTCTGTTAGTAGGTTAAGGAAAGCCAAGGTCCCTGACGGGCCGGGGGATGCCCTTGTGTAACTCACACACCCCTCACAGGCTGTGGCAGAGGCTGCAGGTGCAGGGTTGAGGTAAACAAAAGAATGATGCAGCTGTAAAAACAGAAGTGTGGAACAGAGGGTTTGTGGAGAGTTTGTATAATTTCCTGGGGAATCTTGATGTCTGAGGTTTATAATATTAATAAAACATTGATAACTAGGAGGGATAACCTTGAATGTATATATGTAATTAATTATTATTTTTGTATTTAATAGCTGTTGCATTTCACCAATTCTAAGCTATCATCAGAAGATGAAAAAGATGTCTGTATGTCACTAAAGAGGACAAATGTACCAAATTAACATGATGTTCTATTTCTTGCAAGATGCAAACAGAAAATGTTAAAGGTGTTAAACTGTAAGAAAAAAATGTGTCTCTACTGAATTAAAGGAGATTATGTTAGGCCAGTCAAAGGACTTAACTACTGTATGTTTATTTGCAAACCATAGTTATTATTTCCTCCCATATACCCAATACATGAGAGGAAAATAAAATCTAAAAATAAAATGTGGTTCCTAAGCATTTCAGGAGTTTCTAGCACAGCAGAAACTCAAAAAATATCTTTGTAAGTGGCAAGAGTTAGCTGGCCACTGAGAGAAAGGATTAACTGCCAGGAACAAGGAAAGGAATTGTAAAAACCTATCCCCAGCTCAATCCAGTAGTTAATTTGGATATGGTTTCTGGAGAGGTAGCCTCTCATACGTGTTTTCTGCCTCTCTCAGAGATTCTGTGGGCTCCTCAATAACACTTAAAAATAATAACCTGGTTTATTAAAAGCAAAGGGTTAAAAGGAAACTTGTTTCTCTGTCTCTCCCAATGATATTGTGCATTTAACATTGGTTAGAAAAGTGAATTTATTATTGAACTATTACACTTACAGAGAAATAAATTATTCAATGAGTTATCTTAGTGAACACAACAATGTTCATTATCTCTATGTCAAGGAATAGAATATTACTAACAAAACAGAACCCCTTTCCCTCTCTCACATCGTGATATCCTCTCCCCTCCCCAAAGGTACCCACTATCTTGACTTCATGCCTTCATTTGAATTTAGCGTCCCTTACAAAGCATCACTGGTGATCTTCATCTGTATTTTCTTGGCGATCATCAGCACACACATTGTCTTCCCTACATAGTATTTCAATATATGAAAAATCATGATTTAGTCATTCTACACTGAAGGGATATTTTGGTGTCTACAGTCTCTGATTTCTAGTAATGCTTAGGCTGTCTCAAATCATACTTCTACAAACCTTCTTACACGGCCTTTATGCTTAGGTGAACATTTGGTACAGACCAACAGGAGGAAGTCTGGGCCATAGTAGATATTTGCAAACAGATGTCAGAAGTGGCTTTACAAAACTCGTCTCTCAATAGCAATCTAAGAGAGTTTAAGAAGCTGCACTTCTTCACTGACACTGAGAATTGCCAGTTGTCTAATTTAAGTTGATATTGTGGGTGTACGCTAGTACATCACTAAGGTTTTAATTTGACTTCCCCTGATTAGTAGAGAGATTGAGCTAATTTTATCTTTATTGGACAACTAAATATCCTGTCTTGTGAATCGTCTATTAAAGTCTCTTGCCCAATTTCTCAGAGAGATGTTTGTGCACTTTTTATCAATTCTTAGAAGTTCTTCACACAGTTTATATTTAAGTACTTTTGGCGATTTATGTTACAAATATATTCTCCTACTCTGTTTTGACTCTTCCTTCTGTTAGTATAAATTTTGATGAACCAAAGAACCATAATTTTAATAAAAGTCTAATTTATCAAACATTTGCTTTCTGGAATTCCTTTATGTGTAATTTTATGTTCTATACAAAAATCACATCTTGTAGACAGTATCCTTTTGTGTCTCCTAGAAGCAGTAATTCTGGGAGTGAATTTTGGGTATGGTTTGAGACGGGGAACATTTTAATTTTTGCTATATATTTTACAGTTTCTATTTTAATAATTACTAAACTAAAATTTGCCCCCGTACATTCCTTCTTTCTTTTTAGTTTACATGCTTTCTAAGTGGAAAAAATAAATGCCAGCTAAAAATTCTTGACCCCCGGCCACTTCACCTATTCTTGGATTTGCCTGTTGAATTTTAGCCACTGCCACAATCAATAAGTCCTCTTACAAAAAGTAATTTGAAGAAGCTAACAAAGCAGAGGAAGGGAAAAACCTTATAAGTAAAAGGAAAGTTTTCATCCATCAGATAAGACTAAGAACATATAAAGGCTCAAGCTGAGAACAAAATGGATTCTCTATGTGGTTAAAAGAAAGACAGAAAAAGTGGGAAAAAATTATTCAGCACGTGTAAATCATATCCCAGATGTGGAATAAAAGACAGAAGAAAAAAGGAAAGAAGGTAGGAAACAGATAAAGAATGAAAAAACTAATAAGCAAAGTTCTGTCTTAGAGAATGTATATACAAATAATTTTATTCCACAAGAGAGAGGAGGTAAATTGAAGGGGTAAAGTGATTATCTATGGAAAGATTCAAGAACAAATGAAGAACACAAATTTCTGAACCAGAATTTATGATGGAAATTTTGAGAATTGATTACTTATAGAACTGGAGGAAACTAATCAAGTAAGGCATTTTTTTTTTATATTCCAAGGAAAACAAAATTCTTGGGCCTGATAAGATAATAAAACCTTCCCCATTAAAATAATATTTATGAATAATAATAAAGTTAATGTTTAATCCTTAAATTTTATAATAACATTATTTATTCTTAATATGTAAAAGTCAAGTTCCAGAGTCAGGTGAATTATTGAACAAATAGACCTTATTTTTAAATCTAACATAGGCACCCAACTGTTTAGGTTCAAAAGTAAAATAAGCCCAGTGTTAAAATCATTCTGTCAACATGGTAACTTCCAAATATGGGTACCTGCTACAAAGCTCCAAGCTAGTCTAACCCACTTTTTTCTATTTTTATGCTCATGTAATTTCACTTTATATAGAAACAATTATGTGCCCACACATGTATTTAGTTAAAAGATCAGAGCAAAGGCATATTATGCAAGGTAAGTGTAATTTTTATATCTAATTTTTTTTCTATTCCAAGATTTCAAGTTTCTGTCTATTTTCTCATTGAATAGCCTACTCTATCTACCATGGTATTTTTGTGCTTGCCATTATATGTTATTAATATGAACATGTTACTGTAGAATTTGTTACTGGGTATTAGAATTTATATATCTTAAAAGACATTTAAGCTAGAATTTCTTTAATTGACTTTTTGCCTGTTTTATGCATTTCAATGCCTACTTAATAAACTAACAGAGGAGAAAAAACTAGTTGCTTTGAGTGTCTGACATCTACCATCATGGAGTAATACTTTTTCCTTTTTTCCACAGCAGAAACGATAAATAAAAGACACCCTTTCAAAATAAAAAGAGTGCTACACAGGTCAGAGCTCATAGATTTTAGTTACAGCTAGATAAACTAGTAGAATAATAAATAACCACTCTCTCTGGGCTTTCAATCCTTCACCTTTAAATATAGGAACATTGACTAGATGAACTTGAGGGTCTCTTCAATGTTTCAGTGGTTCTAAGGTCAATACCATACATAGCAGCTACGTTAGTGTTCAAATTGCTCTTCATTATCTGCCTGTCCATTATCCATTTTTCCTGGATATTTTCCTACTCGTTTCTCTTTAGTGACCCATTCTCAAAAATGTAAGAAAATTTGAAACTTACTAAGTCATTAATATCTTGACAAACACTAATCTAAATAATAGGCATTTTAACATTCAAGTATAAATAAATTTAATATTATTTGATATCTTAAGTAATTCATATTACTTGTTATCTTCTCAAGCTCTGATTCACCTTAATACAGTCCCACTTAACTATCATTTATTGAGCATCTAACTGGTAAACACACATGCTCTCACACACATAGGTATTAGGTTATAGGACAAGTTGTTACACAGAGTTCAAGGGTATGTGAAAGAAAAGTAAAATAAATCCCATTAGGAAATGGCAAGAGGACCCCTGATATAAGAAAATCCAAATGATGAAGGACTGAGCCAAAAACAGACTGGGCAGAATGCCCCTAGCAAATGCACATTATAAGCAATGGCAGGAGGGGAGATTGGTCTGATGAGTGGAAGCTGGACCACGTGATTGGACCACACCATTTGTGCCAGATGGAAGACTGACAAAGCAGGAGAGGATCTAATTGTGGAGCCACATCAGTTTATCAGTGCTAAGTGAAGAATCTGAATTGTATGTATTTTGATATGAGGAAAAGGACACTCTTTCTCTAGGAATCAGAAGAGAAACAGGAAAATATCAGTGTAGTAGGTGACCAGGTTTTAGGCAAGAATGGTTAGAAGTTACAAGGATACTATATGAGTGAGATGAAAATTAAACAGATGGGTGTTTGAAAAAACTAAAGCTTCTGGAATAACTTTTATCTAGGCAATGGAAGTTAAGAGAAACACTGGCTACACGTTTTGAGTAGATCTATAATCCATAGACTTATATTTTTATTTCATTAACTTCCTGCCCATAAGTATATGAGAAAATAAACTGGATGCCTGAAACTAAGTGTGGAAAAACAAATTGACATCATACACCAAGGACTATAGGATCAGTTTAAATTTGAAGGTATGAGTGGCCAAAAGTCAGCAAGCAAATTCAAGAGGCAGTGAGGTGACCAAGGGTCGAGAATTTTTGAGTTATCTTTATTATTTCACTTAAAAAAAATTACACAAGGCCAGGTGTGGTAGCTTGTAATCTGAAAGGGAGGCCATGGTGGGTGGATTACTTGAAATCAGGAGTTCGAGATCAGCCTGAACAAGAGCAAGACCTGCCTGTAGTCCCAGTTACTTGTGAAGTTGAGGTAAGAGGATTGCTCAAGCCCAAGAGTTTGAGGTTGCTGTGAACTATGATGCCCCAGCACTCTACCCTGAGTGACAGAGTGAGACTGTCTCAAAAACAAAGTTACATGAACTAATAAATGTCAAGAAATTTATGTGAGCAAATATTAGTTTCTCTAATCCTCATAGCTACCCTATGAGAGATACAATTTTATACCCCCAGTTTTACAGTTAAGAAAACTGAATTCTGAGGCAGCTTTTTTTTTTTTTAACATACCCAGTCACTCAGATCTGAATGCATTAAGTCTGCACTCAGTCAGTATAAATTAAGAGTCAATATTCTTAAGTACTATGTACGGTATATTTAAATTAAAAGTGAGAGAGTAATAAGTTACATGACTATTGGATGTGGTCAACGTGGAATTCCAGAGTTTTAAGTTATAGAATCAAAGCAATTCCTGAAAGCTAAAAGGCTTGGAGTTTTACAACAATGAGAAGAGCTGAAATAAAATGGAGGAGAAGCCAGAGACTTTGAGGAATGAAGGAGATTAAAAGAGAGAACGAAGGTCCATAGAGTACAGTGGGACGGGTTAAGCTTGGGAGGGCAAAGCAGCTGTGATACCATGTCCGTCCCCATCAGTTGGCTGAGATAGCTGGGGATTAACAACACGGAGACACAAAAATGAAATCCCCCAAACCCTAAAATGTGTGTGCACACGAATGCACAAGCACACTTCCCAGGGCCTCTGCCACCAGAGGAAGACAACTTCTCCTTAGTATACAGCCTCAGGGCAATATAAGTCCTCAGAGAGGAATTAGGACTAGATTAAGGACATCGAGGTGAAGAAATGGTTCATGGAGTAAGTCCTCACTCAGCATTGGCAAGAGGTTCCTGGAAGTAGCAACTTTAAGTGACACAATAGATGGCAGAGCCTCACATAATGGCCTTTCCCTCAATGTCATTTTGTTACAACACTGATCACTGATCAGAAAAGAAAAAAAAAAAAAAAAACCTGTCTATGTTTTATACCATTTCACTTCACATCAGTTTCCAAGAACCTATTGACAACATTAAATGAGGACTTACTGTAATCAGTGGAGAATTGGGGAACTTTTGTTTGTTATTTTCTTTTCAGTAGGGTCAGCTCTGCAATGAACACTGTGTAAATGCCTGACACAAAAGATGAGTGAGGAGACAGAAAGTTCCAGGTAGTGGGATATAGGTTTATAAAATATTATTTGGGAGGGAACAGTATTACTTTTATAACCATTGATGATGATGTAATTGTTTTTTCCTAATTAGGAAAAAAATATCAAACACATATTGACAGTGTCAATGGATTTTTGACTGGACAGAAGGAATCGCATAAGCCAGCGCTCCTCCAAAATGTGGTCTCTGGACCAACAGCATCAGCGTCACCTGGAGAGATGCTATAAGGCCCAATTAAGGTCCTTCCTCGTTCCTGCAGAACTAGATACTCTGGAGATGAGACCCCACAAGTTATGTGTTCATAATCCCTGTTGGCGATTCTGATGTGTGATGAAGCTTGAAAATCTCTGACCTAAACCAATGTGTCTGTATTCCTCTCTGCTTAGCTACCTGGATTCAGTAACCTAAATTCAAATTCACCTGCAAAAATTAATTTTAGGCACTTGGTCACATATATTTCTGTGTTGTCGTGGTTTTTTCTTCATTTCTTTCTTTACTGTGTTTAATAAGTTACAACACTTTTGGAAGTAAGTATATAGTAAACTAACCACTACTAAGTGTTTTTTAAATCTTGAAAGTTAATAAAAAACTAATGTAACTGTAAAAGAATGCAAAAATATTAGGAATTTTTAAGTGTGCAATTACAGAAGGGCAAAAATACATGGTAAATTGTTAAAGAAGGAGGTGAGGAGGGAAATTTTGATTTAATTGATGTGGGAAAGGGCCAGGTTTTGGCTTTCAGAAAGAAATTTCTGATTGATATATAGCCCGGGTGAAGACCATTGAATTGGAAGGTAGTAGAGAGAGACACAGAGTATCATTTATGTTGAAGAACCTGATAAAAATAATAGTGGAACATCAGGTCCTACTACGTCTTCATAGAAGTGTCTGAAAAAATGGTTAAGCAAAAATGCACGTGAATCTTGTGTGAGCAAGTGCTTTCCTGTGAAAAAGAGGAGGGAAACTCCCAGAACGACAACAGGAAGGGGCTGAGAGCACTGAGGAAAAGTAAGCAGCTGGTCAATCTGACTTGATTCTTTAAGTGGCTTGGAATCGTATTTGATTTGAGACTCTGCCTGCAATTGTGGATGAAAGTTATGTGGGTGCAAGGACTCACCCTGAAAACTCAAAAGCACGCTTCTTTGGAACTCCACCTTAAGAGGTGACTTACAAATAATTAAACTGCCACACCAAAGACCATTTTGAGAGGATGGATAGTACCTTTTTTCATTCTTAGATGTAAAAAAAATAATTCTTTGGCTTTATACTTTTATAATCATCCCAAACATGGTCTGGTAACACCTGACCAAACTTTCTCTCTGGCTGTCACTTCAATAGAAATTCACTGAACATTAATATTTACTTTGGAATGAGAGAGATTTCTGTAGATCCATAGGAATACAAAATAAATCTTGAATGCAAATATTCGATATTTATGAATAATAAATAAATATTTGAAGGATGATGTTCGTATGGTTTATTCATAACCTAAGCAGGTGTGACTCTTTAATAATGACATTATTGTAAATCCCTACTGACAAAAGAAATGTTAAGAAGTTATTATTACATTAAACTAAAAGGGCTTCCAAATAATAATTCTGAGCCATCACAACATTTTACATTTGTTTTAGAAATATTTAAGCTGGGGCATTATCCTATTGTCATTCTCATAGTAAGAATTTTTAATTCATTGCGCTAATATTGAATATAGTCAAGTTCATCGTATTATCGAATAAGCTGTCAACACTAAATGTAGAAAGGGCTTTGGAAATAGAATAGATTATCCAATGTTTAGGTTTAGAATAAATGCTTAAAAAATATCTTCCTGCATTGCAATGAGTATAGTTTGCCACCAGAGAGAGCTCAGTCACTATATTTTATAAAATGGAGTTATTATTTTCTTTGAACTAGATAAAAATTCTCTCCATCGGCCACATCCTAGAAGAAACAAAATTATTATTTAATTTATAATATCCAGATTCAAATGTGGTTTGGTGTTTAAAAAATCATATATCCCTGCCAAAGGGAATGTGAGTGCTGAAGTTTGTGAAGATTTCCACGGATGAAGGGTGCAGATTGCATTTATGGGGGACTTTGTTGCTCACTTACGGGAAAGCTTCTTTATACACTAGAAATAAATATTTTCTCAAAACAATTCAAAGGATACTTTTCAGTAACTTGTCAATTCAAAAGAATGGAGTAACATTTTTAAAAAGTCACATGACATAGTCCAGAAATATTAATATTGGTTAATGGAAATTGATAAATAAAAATCTGAAATAGGTGAGTCTTAATACCTTTTAGCTGTATGGTCCTCAGTAGGAGGAAATTTTTTTATTTCTAACTCTAGTCTCTTTGTTTATCAAAAAAATATACAACTGTAGTAGATGCGATTTAAATTCATCGATACCCAGTCCCTTCTCCTACCCCTGACTATGATTAAGTAAAATAATTAGGAAACACGTACACTCAAGCTTGTCCTCAGGTCGTCCTCTTTCCAGGAGAGACAGGTAACAGACGATGTCCTTCAGGTGGATCACCTCCGGGGAGCGTGTGTTTGCGGGAGAGGTCCGGGGAGGGGTGATGGCACCTTTATTCATCCTCAGCCCTGGGAGAAAAACATTGTAATTTTTAAAATATTCAGTCTTCTCAAACAGAAAGCAAATGAAGAAAACAGATCACAAATAGACTACACAGAAAATAGAGCAGGTGTATATAGATTTTCTTAAGCATAGCATGAATAATATTCTCAAAAAAAAAAAAAAAGAAGACACTTTGGTATAGCAAAGTTAGACATACTCTATGACAGTTTCAAATGATGGAGGGTTTCTTGGGATGCAGGGCCCTGGGCAGTGCTCTGTCTGCTGGCATCAGGAAGAATCCCACTGCCGAGGAGAGACCATCCACCAAGCTGAACGCATGAGGAACCTGCTCTCCTAGTCCACCCTTCCCTGCTTTGGGCGGGGAAATACTAACAACTTGGCCTTTCAGGAAAAACTGGAGAAGAAATGTGAGTCTACCCCAGTATGATTTCTATCTTGATAATAAATAATAATTAATTCACAAAACATGTTTTTATGTTGAGTATTGGCCAAGACAATGAAGAAAAGACATCCTTTTATGTCCTTATGGAATTTGCCGGTGAGTATGAATAAAAAGAACATAAACAAAATTCTGGATAAACAAGACTGACATTTAATTAGAGAGGTAAGAAAACATGACTAGTGTGGTTTTAATCTAATACTTTAGCACACATTTACCTAATTGCACATCTCTTGCTCTAGTCTATTTCCTTTGATTTATACAATACCTTTGATACCTGTCCTCTCATATAGATGTCTCAGGATTACTAGGCATATAGCTGAATGTACTGTGAGCTGTCACCAGCTTGCTTTTTCTTTGGAAGTGTTACCATTTTTAAAGGGAACTATATGTTGATTAATACGTGACCAAAACTGCAGTAGGGGCTTTAACACGTGTCCTCCTTGGTCCCTACATTAACCCCAGGAGGGACACTGCATTATCTCCATTTTGCAGATGAGGAAAAGTCTTATAGAGATTAATTATCCATAATTTCATAACCAGCAAGACCATTTCATAGTTTACTTTATACTGATAGTTTACAGATTATTTTTTTCAAGGCCAATAATAAAAAAGGTAGAAAAATAATTTACTTCTTAACCCCCCACACACGTATACACACACACAAGTCCTCATTAATGTATTTCACAACTGTCCACATATTCTCTTTTCTATATTAATCTACTCCTATTCTATTATATTTGACCCTTAACATGTTGTCAAAGCTGTTCAAAATAGAGTGTACTAGTCACCAATAGATCAAAAGCCACCATTTGAAAAAATCCTTTACATCCTTCTTTCATTTTTCTTTTCACTATTTTACTTCAAGCATATTTGCATGTTTTGCATTAATTCTATTTCTACATATAAAGTTAGCAACAGAGACATATGTTAAATAGATTTTCTGTCTTAACAGAAGTATCAATATATACTACAAACTAATAGGTATTTTTGTAAACCAAAGTAGGCAGAGCATTGAAGACAATCCTGAGCTTTAAAAAAGTGCCTTGAATAATTGCAACTAGCCAACTAAAGCTTAGCCAGCTGCACGAATAAGCAGTTCCAACTTATGGAAAAAAAAATTTGGCACTGACCCTTGACATGACCATAACTTCCAGACTTGGAGAACACAGAACTTGAGTTACGGTCGGATAAGCTCTGACCTAACTCATCCTGCCTGATGAGCTAATCCCCTCTTCCCAACCTTCCCCCTGTGGTACTGAAACAATCTAATCAGCCTAATTGAACATTTTTTAATACAAAAACTCAGAACAAATCATAAAAGAAAGAAAAGAATATATTGCAACATTTATTTGAAAGAAAGCCAAACATATTATACATTGTCACTTATTTAGAACACAGTATGGTAATTTGTTTGTACTTATGAAACTAAAGCCCATTGTATTTAATTATCAGTTTTCATTATACTGATTACAGACAACTAGGGAATGTGAGGACCACATAATTTTCTGTTTGCCTTTCCTGTCTCTAATGTATAAATTTATCATGAGCGTGTTATACGTTTATGGTTTGCTGCAGTTATTCAAGAAGCATATTACTGTACTAAAATTCTTTTTTTTGAAAAAAATGAGTAAATATTTTCCATTTTCAGTTTGTGACATTGTGATAACTGAAAGATGTATCATGCACTTAGTTGTGTCAGAGTTTTACATTTAAAAGAACTTAAAGCTTTTAAAATAGAAATGTGGCATATGTCCATTCTATATATTGAAGGACTAATTAAATCAATTCTTTCTACTCCAAATGCAGCAAAATTGGAGAGATAAAATATGAACTTTCTGAAATGATTTGTAAAGGCATCAAAAAGAAAGATAAAATGTCAAAGATTTTTTTACATAATTACTTAATAAAAATATAATTAAAAATAAACTGAGCTTTTTTTTTAAGATTTTACTTTTTTAGAGAGTTTTAGGCTCACAGAAAATTGAGAAGAAAGTACAAAGATTTAAAGATCACTACTTGATAGCCTTCCTTCATTTTATTTATCGAAGCCATACTTGCTTCAAAGACACATATATCTCCCTGTTTAACTTTAATTCCTCTTCTATGTACAGTGATCACTTCCATGCACAGCCTTCCCACTATCCACGTCCCCTCCCAGAGTGCTGCATTTGTTACAATTGCTGAACCTACACTGACAGATTCTGACATGTTGTGGGCATTTGATGTCATTATCATACAAACCCCAGAGCCTACATTAGGGTTTGCTCTTGTGGTGCGCAGTCTATGAGTTTGGACAGCGGATAGTGACCTGTACCCACCATGACTGTACGGTGCAGAGTAGTGTGATGTACTGCTCTAAAAATTCTTTGTTCTGCCTATTCAGTCTCCTCAATCTCTTGCAATCCTTGGTCTTTTTATTCTCTCTGTAATTTTGCCTTTATCAGAAGGTCATACAGCTGTAATCATGCAGCATGGAACTTTTTCAGACCTTTTTTTTCACCCACTAATATACATTGAAGGTTCTTCTGTTTTCACACAGCTTGGTGGCTCACTTCTCTTTAGCACTGAGAAACTTTCTGTTGTCTGGATGTACCATAGTTTATTTATCATTCACCAGCTTTATTAAGTTTTGAGGCGTTTAAGTGATGGACATGTCCACAGGCTGGTTTCTGCTGACATCCTCTTCCCAAGATCAGCCTACGTTCTCTTATGTCGTGAAATATTTCTTCATATTTTCATTTAGTTTTCTGAAAACAGGCCCTGGACCTCAATCTGTCTTCATGGAGGTTATTTTTACACCATGTTCCATTCCTTAGACTTTTTTTCTTCCTAAATCTGGCTGGAGTTCTTTTCTACTATGTATTTCCCTCTGGTACAGTTCATTGCCCTGAAGAAAAGTCCTTTTCCTTTTAAATAGTTGCACTAACGATTATTCAGAAGCTCAGGAGGCAACAGAGCAAAGAAAAAGTTGCAAACTTCGTTTCCCGACTATGGTTCCTCCAGACGTAAACGTTACTGGTTAGCAGCCGTAGCCTCTGGTGAAGAGGCTCAAAATTCTATTTTCCTTTCCAAAGGCCAATTTTAACCAACCAGTCATCAGGAATTCTCTCTTTAAAAATGAAAATGGAACATGAAACTAGGCAAAGCAAAAGGTGTTGCTTTTTCCTCAAGTGGCCAATATTTAGGTCTAAAGACTATGTGGTTCGTTGACACCTAATTCGTAGGTTGTCTGATTTGCCCAGTTGTAAGTACTACTTTAAAAGTATACTTTACAAAACAATGTATACCTAGATGTTCATTATATATACAGGTATATATATATACACACAATATATACAATGTACAACAAATTACAAAACAAAATGAAAAATAAACATTGTAAAGTATGCTAGTTTATTAGTAATAAGACTATTACAATTTTATTCGGAGAGCAGTTTCCTCTGTTTAATTCAGGATATACATATATCTAGATACACACACACATACACTCATACACACGCATGTATTTGTAAGCATTCTTTTCTTCAAAGTTTTAATCACAAAAATAGGTAGCGTTAGTCAAGTTGAACATTAACTACTGTTATATTTCTCAAGCACATGATTTTCATTGTATTACAATCTATACTTTCCATTTCTTAAAAAAAACTTTTTAACAATAAAAAGATTTTTCCAATAGAAAATTTTAATTCCAGTTTCAAAGTTTAATGATTAGCAAATAACTTTTGACTGCCTGTTACGTAAATGCCTCTGGTCCACTGTACTTTCCTTTCAAACATTTGCATTTCAGATAATGAAAGTGGTGACATTATTGTTTTTTTAAACTGAGATATTCAAAACTAATAACCTGAATTACGTTTGTAAACATAAATATGGCAATTGAACTTTTCCTTTTTTAAAAACCAGTTCAATTTACATAAATTTACCAGCCTTACTTATCACATAGTAAAATGAGACATCCAATATCCATCCTAATAGGCATAGACAATCACAATTAAAGACAATTGTTAGTGTCATTACACATTTCGTGATTTTTTGCACTTAACTTTGCAAATAGTATTATAATTTATTTGTATTAGACTAATACAAAGTATTATAATTTAATTATAATTATTATTCATTCTTTATGCTTACACAAAGTGGCATCAAAGTAAGGTAAACTGCATTATTAGTCAGTAAAAAATGCAAAATAGACAGTGATTCCTCATATAGTGCAGAATAACGCCTGAGATCAAGCTGGGGTCAGGCAATCCTTCTGAGAACATGCTCTGATTTTCATCAGCTTGGACAAGGCCAAAATCCCCCAAACAGGGCTTGAAGCACAGGTCTTGGGGGTAAAGTTCCAGGAGTAGAGCATATTCTGTGAAAGGACAATAATAGTAACAACATCTCTGGGTTGGCCTATTATGAAACTAATTTTTAGCTATCATAGGAAAGCTATAACCCAATTTTAGCCTAAGAATACGGGAGGTGGGGGAAGAGGAGAGAGAGGGGAGGGGAGTGGGGAGGATGGGTGGAGGGAGGGTGATTGCTGGGATCACGCCTATGATTTATCCTATAAGGGTA